CACCCCAAGCTCCTGGCAATCTGTAGCTCCTCAAAAATCATTTTGTTGCTATGTATCAGGAGGGACCTAGGAAATAGCCCAAGCAGAAGGGCTCAGACTTCTAGCATGTACAAGGCTCTGAGTTTAGTTTCTGGCATGGCATGTTTCTGTCCCATCTACCACCAGGTGTAGGACTAGTATCCCCAAGCACTGTGAGAATGACCCTGATGGCCTCCACCAGCCTTTACCACCAGCTTTAAATAGTTTAGGAAATTGCCTGTCACGTAGTAGATGCTCAATAAGTGTTAGTTACAAGGCTTAATCTTACACAGAAGTTCACCTGAAGTTCAGAATAGTGCATCTTTGATGTAAAATATACATTTGATAAATGTGTCACTTCAGTGAATATTGCTTTGATTTAAAAGCTATTCTGTTGTTTTTCGTTGTACATTAGATATACAGTTATATTTTTTTTCAGATTGCTCATTCAGCATCTAAGATATAATGGTTACTGCCTCCTAACCTGTTAATAAAATCATAGAACCACTAAATATCTTTGAGTTCTAGCCTCTCATTTTACAGAAAATGAATTAGGCTAATAATTGGAGTTACAATTAAAGGGTGAGTATTATATGGATAGGCGAATAGCATAAATAACCAGCTAAGGAGAAAATAGGAATACATGGTAGCAAGCCTAGTCTCTAGAATTTTGGTTGAGTACATTGCCATACAGATCCTGACATGCTTCCTGTACTGTCATCTACACAAAATGTTTTTATATTTTTATTTTGGTGAGCCTTTAAAAACAAATTTGAAGAACTTTAAAAACAATTATTTCAACTCTTCCTTCAATTTTAAGGAATTTAGAGATAATATAAAGAATTTAGAGATTAGATTATTTTGAGATTTATATATCCTCCCCAAATTAAAAACAACTGGGGCTGGAGCAATAGCACAGCGGGTAGGGCGTTTGCTTTGCACGCGACCGACCCGGGTTCAATTCCCAGCATTCCATATGGTCCCCTGAGCACTGCCAGGAGTAACTCCTGAGTGTAGAGCCAGGAGTAACCCATCGCCAGGTGTGACCCAAAAAGCTTAAAAAAAAAAAACTAACCTTTATAGAAACCTTCATTTATCTTCTAAATTAATATCTATCGAGTACTTATTGTGTAATCACAAAATAAATAAGTGAAGGTGGTGGTGGTGGTGGTGGTGGTCTCTCTACCCCATCTCGTGAATTTGGTGGCCACCCTGGCCTTCCCCCACCCTGGCCTGCAGCCGCCACCACCAACAGACTCATGAAGGAGGGAACTGGTTGGTGATCAGTGGTTGTTTATTTTTCCTCCGCCTCCTTCCAGTCTCACTCACTGCCTATATCCTCTACCTCAGTCCACTCCCCCAGCCTAGTTATTCCTCCTCTCCAAGGGTTGGGGGTAGCGATTACACACAGGTGAAGTGGCACAGTCAACATATGTAAGGGCCCTTCCTTCTGGGGAAGCTCGTCTTAAGATAAAACAAAGTTCTACTGCAACCAGGAGATTCGCGTAAGGGCCAAATACTGTTGAGGATTGTGTTTCTCTTTTCCTTAGTCCAACAACCATTTAAACATTCATCCTAATTCTACTACTTAATAGTAGTCATTTTGTATGGATGAAGTAAGAGAAACATTAAGCTTATAAGGTGGCTCTCCTGAGGACATCTTGCAATAGATCCCAGACTATACACAATATTCAGGCCAGATTAATCTTTCCTAACCCTAGCAGGGTCCTAATCCAAGTGTAACTCTTTGGATCATGACAAAATTTGTCCATGACCGTGTTCTTAGCATAGTTAAGTATTATGGCACTTGGCCTGGTCCATTTCAATGTCAGGGTAGCTCACAGCTTGCCCTGGGTCCATCCAATTCCTCATCAGGACCCTGCTTTGGAGGTGCTAGGAACTAAGGGAAATTGAGGCCTACGTCAAGAAAACAGATGCCCAGGAGTGAATGTTATTAATTAACTCCCAAGTTACAAAAGCATAGCATTAACTGTCTTCCTGTGTCTATACAAAAAGGACATTGCTCTAAAGTAACTATGCAAAGACCATATGGAGAAGAGAAAAGCAATATTTCACTTACAAATACAAGATCAGAGATTTCTAAGGAATTTGACTTTATAAGTTACAAGTACTGCTTAGCAGAAAATGGTGATTAACTGGTTGGGGAAGAGAGCACAAAGAAGAAACACAGAGAAATGGCAGTGCCTCTGAAGCACTGTGATGGGTGTAACCCAATAAACCTAAGCTCCCTGCTGCCAGGGAGAAATGACAAACCATTTTCATTCTGCACTTATCTGTTATTTACTCGACATATAGTGGCAAACAGAAAATTTCTGGCTTTTGAACAGACCTTACATGAGGGATATAAGCAATAAACTAATTATTATGTGGAGTACTCGATGTTTCTTTATAATTTCAAAATCAAAGAGTTGAAATTGAAAGGTTTGTTCACCTCTTTAGGAGTATTGAAATCTGACTTAACCTTAACTCATTTGGGTGGTCGTTTTTAGGCCACACCCATTGATGCTTGGGGCTTACTCCTGGCTATGTGCTCAAGAGGAGGACATTTTCTGTCATTGTTGGGGGACCACATGCAGTGCTGCAGATCAGAATGAGATTGACCATCTATAAGTCAAGTGCCTTAACCTCTATGCCATCTCTCCAGCCCCACCTTAATTCATTTAATAGTAGCACTGTCTTCCTGTTGTTCATCGATTTATTCGAGCAGGTACTGGTAACGTCGCCATTGTGAGACTTTTTGTTACTGCTTTTGGCATATTGAATACATCACAGATAGCTTGCCACACTTTGCCATGCAGGCGGGATACAGACAGTACCTTGCTGGGCTCTCCGAGAGGGACAGAGGAATTGAACCCGTGTCAGCCACGTGCCAGGCAAATGCCCTACCCACTGTGCTATCACTCCGCCCCCATTTAATAGTAAAACTGATAAAGTTACTCAATGTCTTTTTATAGTCTCACTGAGAATAAATATATACTTTACAGCTATCAGCATAAGTTTAAAGTGCCATAGCAGATCTCTCAGTTGGAGGTAAAGGGGACAGGTTACATAATAGCGGCGTATGTAAACCTTTGAAAATTCAAACAAAACTTAATTCCAAAACACATTGACCTCTTTAGAGCTGGTGTTGGGCTGTATTATATCTGGTCATTATAAATGCTACGAATGGAAAGAAATCTGATATGTTTTGGAGAAAGAACGCCAGTGGACAGAGGCCAAGAGTTGATTGTGGAGATGTTGTCTTCTGCCCTGGAGATAGCGTTTGAGCAGACTTTCAGCATGCAGTGAAGGCTCGAAGGAAAAGAAAGCCATTGGTGACACACATATTACTCTGAGAAAAAGTTTTACAGTCTGTGGAAAGACCAAGATAAAGACTTAAGCCAAACATATACCTAACATACTTGAGGAAGAACAAAAAGGCCACGGAAACCTTGTAATAGCAAACAAGGGAAAGAAGTAATCTGCTAGACTAGCTGCAAGGTAATCAAGGGCCCTCTCATTCAAAGTAAGGAAAGGCTTTAATTTTTTTTCTTTTTTGCGGGGGGAGTGTGGGAGGGATTCACACCCAGCAATACACAGGGGTTACTCCTGGCTCTGCACTCAGGAATTACTCCTGGCGGTGCTCAGGAGACCATATGGGATGCTGGGAATCGAAGCCGGGTCGGCTGCATGCAAGGCAAATGTCTTACCTGCTGTGCTATCACTCCAGCCCCAAAGGCCTTTAAATTTTTTCATACATGTTGTGAGAAGTTCTTTGAGAGTTTGACCGAAGAGTGTCTACATCCAGTTTTCTTGTAAGTGAATATCACTCTATGACAAAACTTTGGCCTTGATTTACAAAACTGGGCAGTGGGGGGAAGTCATAGAAAGGATAATGATAGAAATAGAGTGAACTAGGGTCAGTGGAGGAGGGTTCTTTAGGGATGTGTGGGGCACAACACCAGGAACTGTTACACTATCCTAATCATGTTACCTAAACTGTGACAAAATTTTAAAATTTAAATATATACATTTAAATGAAACAAAATAAAAATTTAAATATATACATATCTATTTAAATTTTAATAGTTATGTATATATAATTCAGTTGCTTTATGGATAATGTTGCAGAGTAAGAATTGGAAAGAATAAATTACCTTGGCAGCTAGGCATGGAATTCAGATATGTAACTGTGACTGGTTCATTTAATAAAAGATTATTATCCCCCTTCCCTTCTTGTTACTGTTCAGGAATTCACACTTGTAGTAGTAGTAGGTGTCACACAGTTGATTGCTATATGATACTTGTGAAACTGGAGATCATATTGATGCCAAGGATTACACTTTGGATTAAATTTGTGTCCTGTGGCATACATTGCAAGCAGGCATTCTACCCCCCAGGCCATAAAATATTTTAATCCATACTTTAATGAAATAGTATCTCTTAGATATTCTTTGATCAAGAGCTGTGTTATTCATTTATATTATAAATATTATGAAGCTATCCATGTTTGTTGTTTCTTGTTCTAGACTTCTCTCTAAAACAGCACTAAGAAATCAGCTCGATTAGGATAATGCTTTTACTAATATCCTTTCCTCTTCTAAATCGTCTCTCTTCTGTTTGCTGAGAAAACACCTAGCTGAAAGAATGCTGGACCTGGAGTATAAAAAACTGGTTTCTTCTTATTCTGACTCTGTCACTAATTTACTGTAATATTAATTGAACTGCTTAACCTCTCTGGATTTCAGTTTCCTCTAGTTTGAAATAGAGAAATTGAATCATCTGATTGATACAGCTTTTGCTTACTTGCACTTCTAAATTTAGCAAGTGCTATTTGTAAGACAAGAATTCTGAGTCATAATGAGATCTCAAGAAACGTCTCAACACATCCTTTAAATATGAATCTAGAGAAATGCATAATAACTGGCTTTAGAATGATAAATTCAAAATTGGTAAATGTGCCATTGTTTCCTTTTTAACAGGACCAAGGAATAAAGTACCATAAGCCAAGAGCACAGAATATTTTCTTTCATCCATTTAAAGAACCCTGATACTTCTCTAATTCCATCAAAAACAAAAGAATGACCACATTGGCAGATGGCCACAGAGGATGTCAACTATTTTTTGGAGGCAAGCAATGAAATACTTGTGTTATGAGTTTTCTGCTATATACGTATGTAGAAACAATAGGATTATCTTGTATTTTAATGAAAAATAAATTATTTTAATATAGTAATTAATACATAACTGAACTGTTTCTCCTTTTTTATTACTATTTTTATGAACACTGTTGCATGTCAGAATTTGCAGTAAACTCTTTCTGCATATTGTCACATATATAGTGCTAAATTCCCCCCTGTATACAAAGATAGGGCTTTTTGTATCTATATTGGAGACACATAGCTCTACAAATACTAAATAGTTTGGGAAGTTAGAGCTTTCTGTTTTATTTTTTAGAATTATTCATGATAGATTTTTTTATTTAGTTTCTATATATTTCTTCTTTTTAAATTACTCTTTTAATGTACTCCAAAGTCATGGAACCTCATCTGTCTACATTTGCCACTTCTTTACATTTTAGAAAAATCTTTTATCAAAGATTTCATTGAACCTTAAGTTACTTCCACAGTAACTCTTATTGCTTCTGGAAGAATATTCGGACAAGTACTTTATTCCAAATGTGGCATTTTTAAAATTGAATTATTTTATGGGGGCCGGAGTGGTAGTACACCAGGCTGAGAGCACTTGCCTTATACACAGCTAACCCAGGTTTGGTCTCTGACATCCCATATGGTCCCCAAGAACACCAGTAGTCATTCCGGAGTGCAGAGGCAGGAGTATCCCCAGAGCATCACTGGGTATGATGCAAAAACAAACAACACAAAAATTGAATTGGTTTGCCTTTTAAACATGAAGTTTGTTCAGAAAAAGACTGACTGAATTTATTTTAAAAGGAAACAGTGTATGTATAAGAATCTCCTCTCCTTCATGAGCAATACTTAAGTAAATGCATATAAAATAATATTAAAAATTAAGTAAAATACAACAAAAATTTTTTTTTAATTTTTATTAGTGAAACACCATGAGGTACAGTTGTAGACTTACAAACTTTTATGCTTGGGTTTCAATTATACAATGATCAAATGCCATTCCTCCACCAGTGCCCATTTTCCACCACCACGGGTCCCAGTATCCCTCCAACCCCCCATCCCCCCATCCCACCCTGCCTCCGTGGCAGGGCATTCCCTTTTGTTCTCTCCTTTTGGGTGTTGTGGTTTGCAAAAGAGACATTGAGTGGCAGTCATGTTCAGTCTATAGTCTACTTTCATCATGCATCTCCCATCCTGGGAGGATCCTCCCAACACCCTTTATTTGGTGCTCCCTTCTCTATCTGAGCTGCCTTTTCCCCTAGCATGTGCGGCTGGCCTCCAAGCCATGGAGTAAACCTCCTGGTACTTATCTCAGCTGTTCTTGGGTGTTAGACTCCTATTTTGTTACTTTATGTTTCCCCAGATGAATGCAATCTTTCTATGTCTGTCCCACTCTTTCTGACTCATTTGGCTTAGCATGATACTTTCCATGTAGTACCACTTGTATGTAAATTTTATGACTTCATCTTTTCTAACAGCTACATAGTACTCCATTGTGTAGATGTACCAGAGTTTCTTTAACCAGTCATCTGTTCTGGGACACTCAGATTTTTTCCAGATTCTGGCTATTGTAAAGAGTGCTGCAATGAACAAACAAGTGAAGATGTCACTTCGGCTATACTTTTTTGCCTCTCTGCCATATATTCCCAGGAGTGGTATTGCTGGGTCAAATGGGAGCTCAATTTCTAATTTTTTGAAAATTGTCCATACTGTTTTCCAAAAGGGCTGAACCAGTCGGCATTCCCACCAGCAGTGATGAGGGTCCGTTTCTCGCCACATCCACGCCAACACCAGTTGCTTTTGTTCTTTTAGATGTGGGCCAGTCTCTGTGATGTGAGATGATAACTCATTGTTGTTTTGATCTGCATCTCCCTGATGATTAATGATGTGGAGTACTTTCTCATGTGCCTTTTTGCCATTCGGGTTTCTTCTTTGCGAAAGTTCATTTCCTCGCCCCACTTTTTGATGGGGTTGGATGTTTTCTTCTGTGGAGTTCAACCAGTACTTTGTATATCATTGATATCAACTCCTTGTCGAATGTAAAATACAGCGAAAAATATTTTTGAGATTTTTATAAGACAAAGAAAGCTTATGTGTGCTCAGAATTTCTCATGGAGTGATAATCCAATTATAGGCTTAGGTGAAGCCACCCAACAAATATATATCTGCTTTAAGCACAGCAGGTAGGGCATTTGCCTTGCATGCAGCCGACCCGGGTTTGGCTCCTTCATCCCTCTCGGAGAGCCCGGCAAGCTACCGAGAGTATCCCGCCCGCACAGCACAGCCTGGCAAGCTCCCCGTGTTGTATTCAGTATGCCAAAAAACAGTAACAACAAGTCTCACAATGGAGACGTTACTGGTGCCCACTAGAGCGAATTGATGAACAATGGGAGGACAGTGCTACAGTGCTTTAAATGTTTAAAAAGCCCAGTGTAGAGCTTCTGATTTTTTCCTCAGTAACTGGAGTCACAATTCTTGCTTTTCTAATTACATTCATAATATTCTGCAATTCTTTGGGCAGCAAATCCTGATCAAAAAAATTCTTTCAAAGAAAAGGCAGCTTTGTTGCCCTTGCCTTACAGTTATCAGAATGGCATTATTATGCAGTCACTGGCTTTACTGAGTCATAAGTGGTTATTCACTAGCTGCCTTCTAGCAGAGACACACCTAAACCTTTCTCAATTGCTCATAATGTCTGCCTTCTGCTTGTAAAGATCATCAGAGAAATAGATTCTGCTGCCTGCTTCAGCAGACCAATCTTTTCCAACACCTCTCTGGAGTAGGATGTTCTTTCTTTTTTTTTTTTTTTTTTTCCCCCTTTATTTTATTTTATTTTTTTTAAAGTTGTAGATTTACAATTTTTTGTGCTTTGGTTTCAATTATACAATGATCAGATACCCATCCCTCCACCAGTGCCCATTTTCCACCACCATGGATAATATCCCTCCCACCCCCATCCCCCCATCCCCCCGTCTCTGTGGCAGGGCAATCCCCTGTGTTCTCTCTCTCCTTTTGGGTGTTGTGGTCTGCAAAAGAGGCATTGAGTGGCAAACATGTTCAGTCCATAGTCTACTTTCGACATGCATCTCCCCTCCTGGGAGGATCCTCCAAACATCCTTTATTTGGTGCTCCCTTCTCTATCTGAATAGCCCTTTCCTCTAGGATACCCGGCTGGCCTCTAAGTTATGGAGTAATCCTCCTGGTGCTGATCTCAGCTATTCTTGGGTATTAATCTCATACTTTGTTACTTTATATCCCCCAGATGAATGCAATCTTTCTATGTCTATCCCTCTCTTTCTGACTCATTTCGCTTAGCATGATACTTTCCATATTGTACCACTTGTATGTAAATTTCATGACTTCATCTTTTCTAAGAGCTACATAGTACTCCATTGTGTAGATGTACCAAAGTTTCTTTAACCAGTCATCTGTTCTTGGGCATTCAGGTTTCTTCCAGTTTCTGGCTATTGTAAAGAGGGCTGCAATGAACAAACAAGTGCAGATGTCACTTCGACTATACATTTTTGCCTCTCTGGGATATATTCCCAGGAGTGGTATTGCTGGGTCAAATGGGAGCTCAATTTCTAATTTTTTGAGAATCGTCCATACTGTTTTCCAGAAGGGCTGAACCAGTGGACATTCCCACCAACAGTGAAGGAGTGTCCCTTTCTCGCCACATCCACGCCAGCATCGGTTGCTTTTGTTCTTTTGAATGTGGGCCAGTCTCTGAGGTGTGAGATGGTATCTCATTGTGGTTTTGATCTGCATCTCCCTGATGATTAATGATGTAGAGCATTTTCTCATGTGCTTTTTTGCCATTCGGATTTCTTCTTTGAGAAAGTTTCTGTTCATTTCATTGCCCCATTTTTGGATGGGGTTGGATGTTTTCTTCTTGTGGAGTTTAACCAGTATTTTGTATATCCTGGATATCAACCCCTTGTCAGATGTGTATTCGGTGAATATCCTTTCCCATTCTGTAGACTGTCTTTGTATTTTGGTCACTGTTTCTTTGGAGGTGCAGAAGCTTCTTAGTTTAAGATAGTCCCATTTATCTATCTCTGTTTTCACTTGCTCGGCCAGTGGCGTGGCATCTTTGAAGATACCATTAGCTTCAATGTCATGGAGGGTTTTGCCAACTTTATCTTTAATGTACCTTATGGTTTCTGGTCTGATGTTGAGGTCTTTAATCCATTTTGATCTTACTTTTGTACATGGTGTTAGGCAGAGTTCTGAGCCTATTTTTTTGCATGTAGCCGTCCAGTGATGCCAACACAATTTATTAAAGAGGCTTTCCTTACTCCACTTCACATTACTTGCACCTTTATCAAAGATTAGATGAGCATATGATTGAGGAGAGATGTCAGTGTATTCAACCCTGTTCCATTGGTCTGCAGTTCTGCCTTTGTTCCAGTACCATGCTGTTTTAATTATTACTGCTTTGTAGTACAGTTTGAAGTTCGGGAGGTTGATTCCTCCCATTTTCTTTTTCCCAAGAATTGCTTTAGCTATTCGTGGGGGCTTATTGTTCCATATAAATTTCAAGAGTGTTTGCTCCATTTCTTTGAAGAATGTCATGGGTATCCTTATAGGGATTGCATTGAATTTATACAATGCTTTCGGTAGTATTGCCATTTTGACAATGTTAAGTCTCCCGACCCATGAGCAGGGGATATCTTTCCATTTCCTCATGTCCTCTTTTATTTCCTGAAGTAGCGTTTTGTAGTTTTCTTTGTACAGGTCCTTTACTTCCTTAGTTAAGCTGATTCCTAGGTACTTGATTTTCTGGGGCACAATTGTGAATGGGATTGTTTTTTTCATGTTGCTTTCTTCTCTCTCACTGTTTGCGTATAGGAAAGCCATGGACTTTTGCGTATTGATTTTATAACCTGCAACTTTACTATACGAGTCTATTGTTTCTAAGAGTTTTTTGGTGGAAGTTATTGGGTTCTCTAAGTAGAGTATCATATCATCTGCG